CTTCAAGTATGCCCCCAAATTTCTCCATCAGATTTGCCCCACATGAGGTTAGGGTGGTATGTAACTAGCGCTGCACTCCATGCATGGCCTGACATAAAACAAGCTGCACCCATCTCTTACAGAAGATTGAACCAGACTGCTCCCTAGTTAATTTACACCGGGCCAGCAGCCACAGAGTAGATGCTCTATGAATGACCTAACTGCACCAGAGAATTAGTTCTATTCCAAGAAGCCACAAATCCATCATAATAGAGCCAATAAAATGTATTGTTTGTCTTAAAAGAGGCTGGGTAACATAGGTACCCTAAAACTTTCATTTAAGAAGTCTTCTGTACTAGTTCTTTAGCCACAAGTTGACTGATTCCTGATTTTTCACACATACATGTGCGTACACACACAGACAGCCTCGTTTACTCTATTATCAGGACCAGATCTGCCTAATTAGAAAGTAGAATATAAGGAAAAGCAATAATTTAGAGACTAAGAGTTTAAAAAAACCAACCTAACTAGTGTTTCAGTGTGAAAGGAACTCAAGAGGCTCGCAGAGATATTTGGTTTGTATTTTTCCTTTACTTTATAATCAAATCATTTTAATATTAACCAAAAAACACAACTTGAACTGGCATACATTTCACTCATGACTAATTACAAAGCAGGCTTTTCAAATCAGTGTTGATCTAATGTTTTTAGAAATTATTTAATTTTCAGGGTCCAATATCTGTCGAGTAAATCACCAATTTCCAGTTCATTCTTATTTAATATAAAAAAATCTAATTAGTATGAAGCTATTTCACAGCTGTCTTTAAATTAAACCACAGTCAACAGCATGAAGCATTTGGGGTTTGCTTTGGCATCTCCAAATCAATTGTTCTTTTTGTTCAATATAAAATAGCAATACCAAAAGTTAAGCTTTATTTTGAAGTATTAAGCTGAGCTTCATAACCTCAGATTTTAACTTGTAATTTTTCACAAGTAACTCAAATTTTGAAATGTATGTTTCTAAGGACAGGGGTTGGCTACAGAGGAGAGCAGAGTGCAAAACATATGCAGTGTATTATTTTAAACCTACGTCTGATAATTAGAAAAATTTTAAGAATCACCAGCTCATCTATTAATACTTTAGTTAATAATCAGGTTTTTTTGCATTAAGTAGATAACTACATCTTTCTGTAGCAAATGTACACCTTCAAAGACCTTCAAAGTGAAATCAACAAACCCAATTCTCTAGTAAAAGTTGTATTTGTCAGGAAGGTATGGATTGTGCAAACAAACAAATTGCTAATAAATTGTTACATACTAAATTAAACAAGGTAAATTATCAGAACATGAGTCTTGTTGGGTCAAAGAGGATTATAAGATTTTGGGTTTTAGGTCTTTCACCCTTTGATGAAGTAAAGTGACTTACAATGCAGGCAGTGCAGTATAGCCTAGCCTTGGAATTGGTATATTCTGAGTTCCAGCCTTGTCTCATACTAGTTACGGTAGATTAGGAACATCACTCCAAATTCTCTGACCCTTGGCTTAATCATTTATAGAGTGAGGAAAATTCATGTCTCCCCACTGGGGATCAATGTGATGTTTATGAAAGAATCTTGAAAAAACCCAACACACATACCATGTAAAGTAAAGGCAATTAATAATGAGTGGATTAAAGCCCAGAAATTTCATTTTATTTCAATATGTCATGCATAATCTAATAGACTTTTTCTTTTTTTTTTTTTTTTGTCTTTTTTCCACGTCCGGCACCGGATCGCAACCCTCAGTGTTGCCCCCGTACCGGACCGGGACCGGCAACGGGATCGCAAGCCTCGGTGTTGCTCCCGCGCCTCGCTCAGCCAGTGAGCGGGAGCCGGTCTGTACGTGGGATCCGAACCCTCGGACGGGAGCGCCGCCGCGCTTCCCAAGCGGCGCACTATCCAGTGCGCCACCGGGCCGACCCTAATAGACTTTTTCTATAAATAAAAGTCTTGAGAATATTCTTATACAATCCTAGTACATATTGAACACAAGATGGAAGACATGTTACGATTATTGTTATCTGTAGATATTTGATGGCTATAATTGTAAAACTGGCTTATTACTTTGAGCATATTGTAAAATCATGAGAAATTTTAATATTTTGATTGTTTATTGAATGGGATACTCTTTAAAGTTCAATTTTTGTCCTTTCAACTTTGAAACTTGAGATGAAAAAGATAAAGAATGTGTCAGTCTAGGTTTTGGGGCTTTTCCTATGTCAAATATTGTTACGGTCTTTTTGTTCTTGAAAATATAAAGGCAGTACTAATATTCATGGTTTAGACAGTATAATTTGATAATTTAGATAGTATATGTTGCTCAAAATATATGATGAACAAAAGACAACTCTACAATGATCAACACTACCCAATCAGAAGAATGTTTTATTGGTCTCTTTAAGAAAGATACAGTAGATGAGCCAATAATTGCCACTTCTCTTACTGGGTCTTTGAAAGAAATAGGAAATGAGAGCTAACTGTTCCTCACTCTATTTCTATTGTAACAGGCTTGGGGAAAAGGAATGAGTGAAGATGACTGTGCTCTGATGGAAAGGGTGTGGAGCAAGAGCCCTGTGTAAGATCTGACCACTAAATATTAAATCAGGCCTGCTGCAGCTGACATTACATTTAGGGATGACACTCTGTGACCCAATCCAAGATGGGAAAGTTTTTGTTTTTGTTTTGTGGTCGGCCACAGTGATGAAACCCTGAACCTTGGTGTTATCAGCACCATGTTCTAACCTACAGCATGGGAAAGATTAAAACTAGAGACAAAGCTACTAATACCATATCCACTGTAAGTCAGGAATATTGTTGAATGGTAAGTTCTTTTAAAGATTTCAATGTGTCTTGTTTAAAAGGTTTCAGTAGCCTCTGCCACATTAAAGTAACTATGATGACATATATTTGACACTCATAACTGACATTGTCAGAAATTGGGAGAAATAGTCATTAACTGAAAGGAATATGGAATTGGACTGAAAACTTGTATAATGTCATTAGAAACATAGTAAGTATACCCACTTAAAAATAAAAAGACCCTCTGCCCACCTTTATTAACTGTTGTCTGGATTAAAAATATGAGATTTATACCAACTAAAAAAATAGGGCAGCCATACTTCTAAGTGCAATTTCTGCTTCCTGAGACAGCTTGAATGCTAGGCCCACCCTCTCTCTACATCAGGATGTGTGGCAATGTCTGGAGACATTTTTAGTTGTCACAACATGGGGGGTAAGGTGCTACTGGCATCTAGTGGGCAGAGGTCAGGGATGCTGCTAAACATCCTATGAGGCACAGGACAGCCCCCCATACTAAAGAATTATCTGGCCCAAAATGTCAAGAGTGCCAAAGTTGAGAAATCCTGCTCTATACCATCAAGATGTCTTCCCACATCATTGCAGAAATTGAAAACTCTCGAAAACTGACAAAATGAGACGTGGAGGGGAGGGAGGAAATATTGCCAGCACAGGCACAAGTGAGGAAGATTGTATCCGAGTCTTTGAGCAGTTCTAGATGAGAATTAGTAGGAGTTAGACTAGGAGCTGTGTGAAATCAGTCATCCAGCTGTAGATCTGAGATGGAAATGAACAGAAATCGAGATCCAAGGGCAATTCCCATAGTGTCTAGATAGCTCTCACAAGTGTATGTAACAGAAATATATCCTCATATATACAAAGACTCAAAATATATATCATCTATATATACTCTTCTTGGGAAAAAAAAATTGAGACTTAGCTCCAGCTGGTCAAGAACAGACTCAAAATTAAGAAATAAACGGGGGAAATTTGGGCAGCAAAATTCAGGAATCCAGTTTAAATATATGTTGTCAGTTAGACTGTACAGTTCATGGGCAATGTATGGCTCTGTAATAAATACTTCCTTCAACTGTTCCTTACTCATTGTAAGAAACTGTTGGGAGTCACATTTTTGCTTCACAGTTTGAATGAACACTTAAAAGAGGAACTGTTGTAATCGGTAACACATTTGGGACAAAGCTTGGAAAATTACTAAACCACAAGTTTTATTTGTTGGATTTTTCTGTCTAACATTAGAAAAGAGTCATAGAAGTAGGCGGGCCATTTTTTCTTGTGAAGTAATTCAAGTAAGCAATTTTCATAATCTTTAAAATGAATATTAAGTGACTTGAGTCACTGAGGTTTTTTTTAATTACTAAAGAGAAATATTTCATTGATATTAGTTATACAGTCAAGCCCTTCTCATTTTTCTGTTTATGATGTGTAAATGTTCCTTTGTTAATAATGTCTAAATATCAGTATGGACTCACATGGTTCAAAATTTATCCACATGTAGAATATAAGCATAGAAAAGATTGAAGCAATATGTTAATGATAATCTCTGGGTAGTGGATTTCTAGGTGATTGCTGTGGGGTTTTTGGTATACTTTTTTGTATTTTGCAAATTTTCTACAAGGAGTATGTATTATTTTTATATTAAAAAATTTTAATTCATATATATATCAATATATATCAATAACTACTGTGTAAATAAATGCCTAGGAAAAAGACTAGAAGGAAATGGACAAAGGTAGTCTTTCATTCATTTGTTCATTCATCCAATGGATACTTTTTAAACACTTACTAAACCAGGTGTATGTGTGTGTGTGTGTGTGTGTGTGTGTGTGTGTGTGTGTGTGTGTGTGTGTGTATGGGCACTGGCCATCGCAAGGTGTTGAACACTGCTATCTACAGGTTTGAACTTTTAGTGTTCTTTTTTCTTTTTTGTACTTCTCAGAAGTTTTATTGTGGAGATGTTTTTGCTTATAAAATGATGGGACATTTACAAAAGATTCTGATAAAGTTAGAGTTCAGAAAGGAGTGTGTTGTTATATCTGTGTAGACATGATCTAATAGATGAGCTTTTGAGATATTTACTTCTTTTGGAAGTACACTGGTATTCCCCATGATGGCTTTCCCTCCCTCTTGTAAAATTCATTTCTTTAGCAAACAGAAAAAATACTTTTTAGAAAAAAATGTTTTTATCAGTAAGATTTTATATTACCTTCAACATCTGCCTATCTTAATGGAGGTAACATATACTTTTTTGAAGAGCAAAGTTTTAAATGTGTTTATTTAGTATGTTATTTAAATATCATCATGTATTTTTTTTATAATAGGGGTTTTAGAGTAATAAAAACATAAAAAATTATATAGTGTAAAATGAGTATGAATTTACATAAATACAAACTATCTATACCATGTCTTTTTGTGAAAGAGATTTATCTTTAGATTGACCTTTCTCACTCTTTTTCTTCTGTTTTTCTTCTGCTTGTTTTTCAAAATAATCTTTAAGGAGAATGTTCAGCTGTGGTTCATACTGACTTGCATGTTGCAATCCATCTTCCCTTCCTTAAAGAGATATAAAACATGAGACAACTATTCTTTATTTTATAGTGGTCCTTATATTATTAACATGTGAATTATCTCCCACAGTAGCAAATTCAGAGCTATTTCTTCCTGAAAATCCACAAGTATTAACCCATCAAAGTCAGTTTTAATTAAAATGCTTAAGTTAAACACATTCTTACGTTACCTTCACAGTGTTGGATCACACGCCCCCATAGTCGATTTTTCCTCAAACAGGCTAAATTTCCCACAATCAGCAAATGCCTTCTTCCTCTTGTCAATGCAACATTCATTCTTTTTTCTGAATCAATGAAGCCTACTTGTCTTGTCCTTACGCAGGACAGAATAATGATCTCCTTTTCAGCTCCCTGAAAAGCATCTACTGTGGACACCTGCACAGTTTTAATATTAGGATGGTCAAAGTCCACAGCACTAAGTAAATGACAAAGCTGTGGAGAAAAGAAGACAAGGATCATACAGTGCAGAGACTGTATGAAGAACTGTATGAAGGGATCACTGTATAAAGGGATCATACAATGCAGAAGAACGAAAGCCTCTGAACCTACTCACAACAACTATTTTAATTTAAAGTGGATAATTTCCATTTTTCTTTAATAACTCACATAGAGTTATTAAATAACTCTTTAATAACTCACATAGAGTTATTAAATAACTCTTTTTTTTTTTTCCTTTTTGTCTCTTTTCGTGTCCGGCAACGGATCGCAACCCTCAGTGTCGCGCCCGTACCGGACCGGGACCGGCAACGGGATCGCAAACCTGGGTGCTGCACCCACACCTCGCTCAGCCAGTGAGCGGGAACCGGTCTGCATGTGGGATCCGAACCCTCGGCGGGAGCGCCGCCGCGCTCCCAAGCAGCGCACTGTAGCAGTGAGCCACCAGGCCGGCCCCCTAAATAACTCTTTAATAACTCACATAGAGTTAGCCAGATAGTTTCTAAAATAACAGATAAATGACTAGATGACAATACCAATTATGAAATAAAATCAAAACTGGTGATTTATCTTTTGGTGAGGAACTCATTTGGATATGCTAATTTGAAGGTGATAAATAAACTAATAATAAAACAGATGAAAAAATACTAAGAGAAAAAGAAAGATGTAGTTAGAAGTAGTTGGCTCATGTGTACGTTAATATTTGGTATCTATCCTTGATTTCTAGTAAAATGTAATAATAATGAAAGAACATTTTGGAAAACAGAGATTCGATCCCATCTGTCCCAAAACACAAAGCATACACCATATTTTCTTCCCTCTAATTTGTTTATTTGCATTTTTGCCCCAACAGCTGTAAACTGAATTTAATTAAACCTCCTTAGGTTTATATTTAATTATACAGAAAAAAAGCCAGACCAGAAAAAAATCAGAATGTTTCTTTTTAAATACATTAATTACAGTCCCAAAAGTTTTTCAAACACGAAACCAAACTACTACAAATGTAATATAAAATATTGTAATATATAATTATAATATTTAATGTATAACAAATACTGTAATATGTAATACAAACCTTGTACATCTGGGATTTGTATAATGTTATTACCCCAATCATAGAGCCTGCTATTCCACTTGCAATCAGTGACTCAATCAGCTTGAGTGTAAAAGTAGCTTCTGCCACGTTATGAAAGCTGTTATCTCTTTCAATCTGGAATAAGAAACAGATCCTAAATTATATTTCCCAGAAAGGCTAGAAAGACCAAGTAAAATCATACAAACAACAATAAAATTAAACCAGGAAACTAAACCATGTTGAGTCCCATCAACATTAATGTCATTTACCTGTTCCAGTCCTTTAACGTTATAGAAACATAGGGTTGGTAGCCATTCCAATAAAGGGCTCCTCTCTGTTTCCGAAACACCATTCATGAGGTTTCCTTCATAAAACAGATCATTAGCAATAGCACTAATTGCAGGGTGACAACGATATTGGGTTCTCAATAGAACTGGCTTGTGACCCTAAGAAATTTAAATGCAGAAAAATAAATTAAAACATAACATTTTTTTTTTTCTCAAGGGAAAGAAAAATAGCAATATGATAAAAATTTTTAATGTTGCTTTTTTGTGGTCTTAAGAGAGATGAATTACAACCATGATAAAGACAATAAATAAAAATGTTTTTAAGATAAATTACTAAAGAATATGCTCATATTAAATTGACACAAGAAAATTAAAAATATAAAACATTTCAAATCTTTGACTTATTATCTAATTAATTTTGGCACCTAACATTATGCTTTTGCAATCTATCTGGAGTTGGCCTAACATTAAATTGAAAAAGAATCTTCAAAATTAGAAAGTGTTGTTAACTCTTTATTAACTTTCCTCACTGAATAAAAAGTCATTTTTCATTCTTAATCTTCAAAGAAATTTCAGTTTTTGTTAATCTATCAAAAAATCCAAGTTCCATCTATTTTAGGCTCTTCTGGAGCATGTTGTTTATTTGAAAAAAGTTCTACAGTAATGCTGAAACATTTTGAATAGCTACAACACATTCTAATAATAATACATATATAATTAAATGCAGAATTAATGACCACATGAACAAAATATCTTCTATAGGAGAAAAACATAAGGAAAAAAAAAATCAATTCTCAGTACTTTCTGGGGCATAAATTCGTCTAAGTTTATAAGTCCAAGTCAGGGGCCGGCCCGGTGGCGCACTGCTACAGTGCACCGCTTGGGAGCGCGGTGGCGCTCCCGCCGAGGGTTCGGATCCCACATACAGACCAGTTCCTGCTCACTGGCTGAGCAAGGTGCGGGCGCAACACCGAGGGTTGCGATCCCGTTGCCGGTCCCGGTCCGGTACAGGCACGACACTGAGGGTTGCGATCCGTTGCCGGACACAAAAAAAGACAAAAAGGAAAAAAAAAAAAAAAAGTCCAAGTCAGTACGTATGTGAAACCTCTGACAAAAAGTGTTAAGTACAAAAATAATCGGCAAAAAAAAAAAAAATGCTTAAAGGATCATTATTTATAACTGAAAACAACTAAATGTTCAATGTTAGACAAATAACTAAATTATGCAATATGCAACATAAAACTAAGTGATTAAATATACATATGACAACAGTGATGATTACACAGCTAGTAATAACAAGAGTAGATGATTTACCATTATGCAGAGTTTAAAAAAGGCAAATAGAAATTATATTTATGGTATAGTTTCAATTATGTAAAAATACATACATTTGATATATGCATATAGTCCTAGGATAAAATATGGAAGGAAAAAAATACTAAAACACTACAAAGGGTTTTCTTTTGGGTGCAGTGAGGTTATTATAGTTGTATTATTTTCACCTTTTTAGTTTTTCATTGTTTCCACACTTTCTATGAGTAGTAGATATTATTTCTTTTGCTTTTAATTAATTCTGAACTATTTTAAATATACAGAAAAGAAAAAAAAAAAAAAAAAGACATCCATCTACCCACCACCTAAATTTGACAATAGCATTTGGTCATATTTGCCTCAGATCTCTCTTTTGTTAAGAAGTAAAATATGACATACATAGCTAAAAGCCCTTCCTTCACTACTTTCCACTAACATCTTCTCCAGAAATAACCCCAATTCTGAATTTTTTTGTGGCATTCCCATGCATGCTTTTATATGTTTATTACATCAATATGTGCCTATGAGTAATATATATTATCATTTTTTGCTTTTAAAATATATATTATTATTTTTGCTTTGAAATTCTCACAAATGGCATTTTACTATAAGTAACCCTTTGCACCTTGCTTCTTTCAACATCCACTATGTTTCTGAGAACTATCTACATGGGTCAAGTTCATTAATCTTAACTGTCTTATATTATTCCACTCTGTGACTAAATCACTTTTTAGTCTATCCTTTATTTGCCCTTTTTGAATTCCCCAAAATAAAAACCTACTTCATATTCTGAAAGGCATTGACAACAGATAACTGAAAAAGCAAAGGGCAAAACAGAATGTATAGTAAGTTACAATTTGTTAAAACTAGGAGAAAATATTTTATATATTTGTTTATGTTGGCATAAAATATCACTGGAAAGATATAAGAAAGGGATGATGGTTGCTTGTGGGGAGAGTAACTGAGTGGTAGGAGGACAGGAGTGAAAGTCTTCACTGTCTCCATGCTTTTTGGTTCCTCTAGAATTTTGAACCATGTGACTATATTACCTATTCAAAAATGTTTTAAGAATTTAAATAATTTCTTAAAATTAAGATTTTTAAAAGCCATTAAAAAGATCTGATTCAAAAGAGGCTAGACACTGACATTGTGGAAGGAGTAGAACATTTTACAATTCAATTCAATTACAATCAAAAACACAGGACAACGGAAGGTTGGTTCTTCATAAAACTGAACACAACGCAACTCAAAAGTTAATGCAAGTTGAAATTCAGTTTAAGATGGAACTTCTGAATTAACAGGGAAGAATAAAGCTGCCTTGCAGAACCCATTCTCTAATATATAAAGGTACAAAAAAATGCTAAAAACAACAGCAAAGAAAAAAAATTCAGCAGTCATGCAACAAAGAAAGGTTTACAGCCAGCCCAATGCCATAAACATTAAACAGTGCTTGTCATCAAGAAAGAAACAAGATTCTGAGGTAGGAAAGAGAAATGCAGCAGAGTGAGATTACTAATTTCTCCAGAAGTCATATAATGGAAATGGCTCCTAAGAAGAATAATGAAACAGGAGAAGTGAATACGAAGTTTTTAGTGGGAGCAAAGGCTCTGAGGACCATACATGGAACTGATGGGACATTTGAGGCCCAGGAGTATACCTACTTTGGGAAAGGAACAACACCTCCAACCATGTAAACTGAATCCTTGTACAATGTGTTTAACAAAACCTTAGAAGTGAGCATTGCCCACATAAGGTCATAAAGACAGCATACATTCTTTTTTTTTTTTTTATGACCGGTAAGGGGATCTCAACCCTTGGCTTGGTGTTGTCAGCACCATGCTCAGCCAGTGAGCAAACCGGCCATCCCTATATAGGGATCCGAACCCGTGGCCTTGGTGTTATCAGCACCGCACTCTACCGAGTGAGCCACGGGCCGGCCCTACACAGCATACATTCTTAACCTGGTTCTATTCCAATTCCACCTCTAACCCTCTCTCCCACCAACATATTTTCATGGAACTGGGAAAACAGAAAGAACACACAGAATACAAATCTGAGAGAGCTGCCCAAGAATGAAAGTGAGAAAATGAAACAAGAATGGCAATCATGCAAACATACTATAGCCCCTCCCCCAAAATTAATAAAATAAAGGAAGACAATGCAAAGGATACATACAGAACCCAACGCAGACAAAAACATAACCAAGGAACAGAAGAAAAATGTCCATAATTTAATCAGAATTTAGAATTTAATCAGAATACAATTCAGTAAAACAAAATCTCAAAGGTGATATGATTAAAAGATAATGAGATTAAAAGGGAAATTTCAATCCTAAAAAAACAAACTGGTTTTCAAAACAATATCATTTAAAAAACTAATAAACTAAAAGCAGCAAAGAACAAAATAGAATTTCTTCACAAAACTCACTAAAATTCAACTTAAAACTAAATGCAACTTGAAACTCAATGTAAGGAGAACAGAAATAAAATTTCTGACATAGAAGAAAGACTTCATAGATAATGTAGATGAAATTAAAGTAATTTAAACAGAAGACAGATAAAGACACCTAATTATAAGAATAATTGAAGTACTTCTACGTTATGGACTAAATGTCTGTGTGCCCTCAAAATTCATATGTTGAAGCCTTAACATCCAATGTGATGGTATTTGGAGGGAGGACCTTAGGTGGTAATGTTTTAGATGAGGAAAAGGGCATGATGGGATTGGTGTCCTAGTAAGAAAAGGAAGAGACCAGAGCTCTTTCTCTCTTTCTCTTTCTCTCTCTGCCATGTGAGGACACAACAGGAAGGCAGCCCTCTGCAAGCCAGTGATCAATAGAATAGAATAGGGAGCCTAGAAATAAGCCCTATATAAGTGGCCAATTAATTTTCGATGAGGGTGCTAAGACAATTCAATGGAAAAAGGACAGCCTTTTTAACAAATGGTGTTGGGAAAACCAGATATCCACATGCAAAAGAATAAAGTTGGACACTTACCTTATACTATATACAAAAATTAAGTCAAAATGGATCAAAGACCTAAATATAAGAGCTAAAATTATAAAACTCTGTGAAGTAAACACTGGGGAAAATCTTCATGACACTGGATTTGGAAGCAATTTCACTGATACGATATCAAAAGCACAAGCAACACAAGAAAAAATAGGTGAATTGGACATCAAAATCAAGAACTTCCGTGCATCTATCAAGAAAGCAAAAGACAACCTACAGAATGGAGGAAAATATTTGCAAATCATACATCTGATAAGAGGTTAATATCCAGAATATATGAAGAACTCCTATAACTCAACAACAAAAAAACAACCCAATTCAAAAATGGGTAAAAGGCATGAATAGGCATTTCTTCAAAGAGTATATACTCGTACAAATGGCCAATAAACACATGAATAGATGCCCAACATCATTAGTCATTAGGGAAACCACAATGAGATTCTACTTCACACCTGTTAGGATGGCTATTATTTTTTTAAAAAAAAGGAAAATAACAAGAGTTGGCCAGGATGTGAAGAAATTGAAACCCCTGTGCATTGCTGCTGGAAAGGTAAAATGGTGCAGCTGCTATAAAAAACACTGTGGCAGTTCCTCAAAAAGTTAAATATAGAATTATCATATGACCCAACAATTGTACTTCTAGGTAAATAATGAACTAAAAGCAGGGATTTGGATAGATAGTTGTACAGAAATGTTCACAACACCGTTATTCACAATAACAAAAATGTGGAAACAACCCAAATATCCATCACCAAAAATGCAGTATATACATGCGATCTAATATTATTCAGCCTTAAAAAGGAATGAAATTCTGATACATGCTGCAACATGGATGAACCTTGAAAACATATGGTAAGTAAATAAGACAGACACAAAATGATAAATACTGTATGATTCCACTTATATGAGGCACCAAGAATAGGTACATTTATAGAGACAGAAAGCAGAACAGAGTTTACCAGGGGCTGGGGGGAAGGCGAAATGGAGAATAATTGTTAAATGGGTACAAAGTTTCTGTTTGGGATGATGAAATGGAAATGGAGAGGTGACAGTTGGACAACACTGCAAATGTACTTAAAAAAAAAAGTAGTATAGTGCTGATTCATGCTACAGTGTGGGTGAACCTAAAAAATGTCATGCTAAGGGAAAGAAGCCAGACACAAAAGGTCACATTTTGTATGATTCCATTTATATGAAATATTCAGAATAAATAAATCCATATACAGAAAATAGACTTGTAGTTGCCAGAAGCTGGAAGGAAGAGGGAATGGGAAGTAACTGCTAAATGAGTGAGTGTGAGGTTTCATTTTGGAGGGATGAAAATGTTTTGGACCTAGATAGAGATAGTGGTTGCACAGCACTGTGAATGTACTAAATGCCAATGAATTATTCACTTTAAAATGGTTAGTTTTATGTTAGGTGAATTCCACTTCAATTTAAAACTATATTAATAATTAATATAAAAACTTTTTTTAAATGTGAAGTAGAGCTCTACACAGATAAAAGAGGCATAAGTTTTTTGATTTTAGAACAAAATCAATATGCTTATTATCCACTACTAAAGTACACAGGGAAAAGATTCTTTTCATTAATTAATTAATTAATTAATTAATTAATTTTTATTTTATTTTATTTTTTATTATTTTTATTTTATTTTATTTTATTATTTTTATTTTATTTTATTTTATTTATTTTATTTTTATTTATTTTATTTTATTTATTTTATTTTATTTTATTATTTATTTTATTTTATTATTATTTTTTTGGTGGCTGGCCGGTATGGAGAACCAAACCCTTAGACCTTGGTGTTACAAGGCTGTGCTCTAACCAACTGAGCTAATCCACCAGTGCTGATTCTTTTTATGAAGGAGTACTTGAATTACAGGGTTCTACTTATCTTTAAAATGTGTACTTTTTTTTTTTTTTTTTTGTGTGACCAGTAAGGGGATCGCAATCCTCAGCACAGTGTGGTCCGCACCACACTCAGCCAGTGAGCACACCGGCCATCCCTATATAGGATCTGAACCCGTGGCCTCTCTCCCGAGTGAGCCACGGGGCCAGCCCTAAAATGTGTACTTTCTAAATAGCTCCTATTATAAATTGTCTTAAGGCAGGACTAGGTCATCTAATATTTTAATTTTCTATCAACCCCCCACACAGTATATAATCAATAAATGATAACTCTGTATGAATTTAGCAATAGGTACCATTAAGCAAAGTCGATCAAAAAGAGTTTGTTCCAATCCATTTTCATGAGCTGCATCAGAACCCTGAATAGTAGGAGGCAGCTGTTTGGGGTCTCCAACAAGAACCAGCTTTTCACATTCAAACCTAAAAACAGAATTTCAAAAATTAATCTAAGCCATGAAAAAAGGGTACTAGATCATTTATTGCACTGCTTTCCAAAATGTATTTCAAAGAATTCAAATCCCATGAATTGTCCCAAGAAGTAACAAGGCTTAATAGTGCTAATAAGTGTATTAAAGGCTTTCAAAAGTTACACAGTAAAGAATCCTTCATATAACTTTATTTTTTCCTACATAAAACCTATTAGGCCTTGCCTCTAGATGGAATTTAATATTTCACAGAACATATTTGGGAAATACTGATTTTTAGAATCCATATACTATTAGAATTAGAGGCTTTCTTAGAAGTCATTTGGCTTAAACTCTTGTTTTAGAGATGAAATAAATTAGGCTCTCGGAGGCTAAAAGTCTTTCTAAATAGGAGTAGGATAAAGCGGGAAAAAATCCAAATTTTGTAAGCAAACCTATATCCAAATCTCAATTCTATTATATTTTATGGATACAACATATTAATTAATCTCTTCATGTTTCAGTATTCTTAATAACCTGTAGGTAATAGTACCTTGCATGGCTTTGCAAGGATTAAATTAAATATATGAGTTTAGTATGCTCAACAAGTATTACTCCTCTACCCTCTGCCACTCTTCCATCCCTGGCTCCTTAGTAGGGTGACCAACTCATCCTAAAAACTGAAAGCCTCATGATTTGGGAACCTCCAAGTCTCGGGCAAACCATGACAGTTGGTTCCCTACTCCCTCATTAATTGGGACAGAGCAAGGACTTCCCAAGAAGAGTGCTCTAGTACTCTTTCCACTACTTTTAGGAGTCCTCAATAAGGGATGCTTTACAAGCACACTATTTCAATTGGCTGAAACAGCTTAAAGGATTTCACAGTTTTTTAATTTTAGGAGAAAAGTTTTCATTTTCTACTTGTTTTTCTTTATATACTTTATATCATTTCACAATCTAAAAATTATTTTCAGAAACTAAACATGAATTTTATCAAGGTAAGGAAACTGAAGGACATTCTTCAGTGGAGTTTATGATTAAAGAGCAACTTTTAATTTAGTTGAGAAATCTGCAAGATTCTAGTAGAATCCTAGCACTAGGGTTATCAGTGCTTTAAGAATTATGTCATCACAAACTGTGATCTTACAATATTTTGATATATTAGCCCCCCAAATTTCCCTCTGTATTTGTCTTAAAAGTCAGTACTTGAATTGCTATGAATTTTAACAAAAATTTGGTAAGGGAAAAGAATTTTTAGGTTACCTTGCAATGGGAAGTAGAGAGGCTGGTTCAGTTATTTGACTACACTCATCCAGCACTACCACAGGAAATTTAAGATCACTCATGCATGGGAATGGGCAGGCTGCACAGGTAACTCCAACTACTCGAACCTTTATTACAACAAAAATGTTATTAATTACAACTATTAAAAGAAAATGAAATTATGTATTTACCAAAGAAATTGTAGGCTAAAATCAGAAAGCAAGTTAGTCCTAATTTAATTTCTGGCAATCAGAAATCATAGGTCACTTTATCTCCACATTTTCATTATTCTTACATACAAAATTGAAATCAGAATATAAGCTACTTAAGCCAAAAGCCCCTTAATAAGAACAAACAAAAGTAATGTTTTGATATTCAAAAGGAAAATATTACAATATCAAGGATTTTAAAGTATCAAGGATAACGCACATTTTTATCTTCTAGATGGGCTGAATAAAGATAATATGCCTTATATCAACACAGGCCAAAGTTCTCCACAAAGAACAATGAATATGCTAATGAACTATCCTTTGCTTAACCTTCAAGCACACTAGGTTTTTGATTTACTTAATTAGGTAAAGATGGCTAACTAATTCTGAATAATAGTAAATTAAAGTGTACTTATAGCCCGTAAGTATACTTGAATCTTACAAGTTAAATATTATATCAGAATGCTATTATTCAAGGCAAAAAACTTAACAAAAGCTGGTATCTAATCTCTGGAACTAAATGGAAACAATAGAAAAATCTGTGAATTTTCTAATTGGATGTGGTCATTGGCTTAGTAGTCCACTAGCTATACACATGCATGCATGGACACACGGATGTGCCTGTGTATATATGCATATATTTACATATATGTATACACACATATATACTTATGTACATACACTTACACATATATACATATTACTAATTACACTTCTTGGTAACAGGGTAGTCCATAAAAAACAGACCGTATCTTTTTTTCAACAAATATAAGTGACGAAAATATGCTTTAAATTTCAACAAATTAAATATTGCTTCCACAGATCCTGTGAAATAAAATATCATACACACCCTATTTCTTTAATAATAAATAACATTCATCACACACAATAGCTCTCTATCAGTTATGTTTTCCTTCTCTTGTTAAAAACAAAAACAAAAATTCTAAAGCCACATTTATATTAGAAATTCCAGAGTATTTAAACATTTGATTCTCTAAAAATGATTAAGCCTTGGTATTATTCTGAAATATCATTCATTATCTAGTTTCTGATAATAATACCTGATAAAAACAACTTTAGAATGAGAACTCCAAAGTTATGAATCGGGAAGCATGTTTTTTTTTTTTTTTTTTTTTTCTTTTTCCATGTCCGGCAACGGATCGCAACCCTCAGTGTCGCCCCCATACCGGACCGGGACCGGCAACGGGATCGCAACCCTCGGCGTTGCTCCCACACCTCGCTCAGCCAGTGAGCGGGAACCGGTCTGTATGTGGGATCTGAACCCTCGGCGGGAGCGCCTCCGCGCTTCCCAAGCGGTGCACTATCGCAGTGCGCCACCGGGCCGGCCCCAGGAAGCATGTTTTTTAATTTAAAGAAATATCTAATACAAAAACCTGAAGTACTAATTTTTTTCTTTAAAAAATTGTATTGTTACTTAAGTTATTACTATATTGCTGAGATTCTAACAGCAGAAAAGATTTAGTTATTGACCTAGGAAGCAGTGATGAACTATGAAGCACTTTTTAAAATTAGTTTTATTGTAAAGACATGTCACTTTAGGAATGTGTCAGGTCTGAATGCCTGATTGGACCTTGGAAATATGTTAGAGAAAACTTTAAAAAAAAAAGATTCTTCTAAAATAGCTTTCATTTGTGAATAAGTGGGACCAATAAGCAATAGATTATGGTAACCAGGCTTTTGTTTAGAAAATTATCAAAGAAACCATTAGCAGTTATTTTTACAAGTCATTATTATGTTGGGTAAGTGAGCAGAATGGTAAGTAGTTTATATAAATAATTTGCATTAACTAAATACTACCAAACTAAGCTTTTCTGGATTTGGTTGAAAACAGGGTACAGATTTAACTGTATAATTTAGATAACAGAAAGATAGTCTGAAACCCTCTGAGGATTCTAGAACCAAAACTTATTGTGAATTGGTTATTTCTGATTTCTCTCTTCCTCCCTGTGAGAGTACTATTACACATCCACACCTTTGCTACGTGACTTAGTAGTGCTTCCCACCAGAGAAGTAGGTGGAACATAGGAGCTTACTTCAAAAAGCTCATGGAAAGATTTGTATCATGTTTCAATTCTTTTTTTCACAAACTTTTTGAAGTACCCTCATGTTTCCCTGCCTCGCTGATGTTGGGCTTAGCCATATGACCTGTTATACAGCAAATGGAATGTTAGCAGACATGATGTGAACAAATGCTTTAAATGTGTCATGTGATCTGACCTGCCTCTTACTTTTCTGCCATATATCTGGAGAAGAGCATCATGCCATAGGCAACTGTTCTCATAATAAGAGACTTGACCCATAGCCTCAAGCCAAGCCACACCAGTTACCTGTATAATCATAAGTTGTTGTCTTAAAATATTAAGATTTTATTTGTTAAGCAGCATTATTTCAGCAATAGCTGCTCAATACAGAGTCCCAAGCAGGATGATTTTCCCAAATCTGTTACAGAAAGTAACCAATGTCCACATGGGCCAAGAAGCCAACAACTCCATCCCCCTTTCTTTTCCCCATGCTCTCCTTTCATAGGAGGAAGCTACTGATTAATTTCTTTTCCTTCTACCAGCTGATGCCCAAGCTGCCCTGGATCAGAACTTGAAAAAGGGAACAATACTACTTGTTACAGCCTGGGATCCTGTGTCTCCAGTCTTGGCTCCCCAAATCTGGAAGCAAGTGTCTGAGCCTCCTGGATTCTGGGATGTAGACAGACTCTGAAATGACTAGCTTTCTAGGAAAGCATCGAAGACAAATTTCACTCGGATATTTTGCCTAGGGTCAGATCTTCTCTTTCTCTATTTTTCCTCAAATACAACCAATTTCATTTAACTTGCCAGGAATCTATTCCCACCTGTACACTTTCCTCTTCAAGCCTATAAAAAGGTATGCAAATAAGGCAAAGAAGAACGAATGACTCAATCATAGTGAGTTGGATCTGTTCATAAACATGAAGAATGCTTTGAAGCAAACATAAAATATGCACTGGGTAGATTATATCCAAGGATGTACATGTGCATGCCTTACTTAAATCTAAGTTATCACAATAGTTTTGTTTTTGTTTTTAAATCCATCAACAGAAATAAGAGAATCTGAATAGTATGTATTAATTAAGAAACAAATTGAAGCTTCTTCCTTTTACCTGCTTCAGCAGGGTTTTATTGGTCCCCAGTTTATGCTGCTCAATACTTTTTCTCACATAGACTCTTTCCACAGGAGTTAGGTCTTCTTTCATTAGAGCGTGTAGTTCTTTTAATTGTTCATTTTCATTTTCTGAGCCAGCATGCAGGCTAAAGAAAGAATTACATAAAAGAACACCCCTCTTTATTCCATTTTTCATAGCATCACTAAAAAGTAAAATACAGACTAAGATAACCAAGAAATAGATAAGGCTTTCTCCACTCTTCTTCAAAAAACTAAATTTACGGTAAGAGTTATATAAAATTACCATACTTCTCTCTAAACATTCTGCGACTTTTGAAATTTAGCATTCTTACCTATAAGGTAAAATTGGTTTGGCAATCTTCCTAACACTTCCAACTCTGACAAACTTTTCAAATCCAAAACTGAGAAGCCTTCAAAAAAAAAAAATTAAAAAAAATAAATAAATTCTGATTACTTAGAAAATAGAATATAAAACAAAGTTTCATGTAATATTTTGTTATTAAAGTTAATTTTGTATACAGTATATTATAGAGTTATATAATTTAATGTGAAATACCCAAACTCAAAGTAAATGTAGTGTAGTTGAAAGATTTTTTAATATAATGTATTTTCTAGAGAACTTAAAAATACCTACAAAGGTACTTCAAAAAGTTCACAGAAAAACAGAATTAAAAGATAATGCAAATCTTTCCATGAACTTTTTGAAGACTGTCTCATATTATTTTAAGTTAAGTCTCATTAAATGGTCATAAAATACCAATGTTAGTACTTATCACAAAGAAAATTACCTCTAAAGACATAATAATATGGAAAACAATAGCTACCATATATTTAACACTGAGATTTATGAAGAAGAGCCTCTCTACATGAATTACCTTGTTTAATACTCACTACATCTCTGCACAATATCTCATCTTGGAGATGAGGACACAAGTTCAGAGGTAAAGTCATTTTGCTGAAGCCACATAGCTAATACACGAGGTCAGCCATGATTCAAACCCAGTCAACTCTGTCTATATCCAAAGGCTTTGGTCCTTTCTCTACACACATTACCCCCCAGTTAGAGCTTTGTGAGGAAGGACCCCTCTCCTACCCTTTCATCTTATATATCTTACAGCTTTAGCTCTATGCTAGGAACAGAATTGGAAATAAATGAATACTGAATCCTCCAAAACATCTACCACCTCAAAATGAGAATTTAAAGAGCTAGAGAATGAAACTATAGCTCTCCAAACAATTTTCGAAAATATTTATGAAGCAATTTATTTAATGTCAATACATTTCAATTTTTATATTTTTCATAGTCTTCATCTTGGGGAATAGTCAGCTACTTTTCAGTTTGAAATACTAGCTTACATTTTTTTCAATGCAAGTTTGTGTTAAATATATAATAACAAAGGGTACAATATCCTCATAGTACTGCTGTTTACCCATGCTCTTCCATTTCTTCTCAGGAAACTATACTATCCTGTCCATTATGATAGGAATACATTGTCTGTTCAAGTGCACATCAAACACATTATTTCAGTGTATGAGTCCAGACTATAAGCAGTTGAGGCATATATTCTAATTACACATTCACATTTCTCAGCTCCTTATCAGAGGTTTAAGCATTAAAGAATCTCTTTTAAATGTTTCCTGTTACCTTTTAGTATTCAGTATTTACCTTCTTTCTTCATTCCAACTTCTTGATTTTTGTTTTGTTTTGTTTTCTAACAGTCTACAGTTAAGTTTTCTTCTCAGGCTAAGCAATCTAAAATTCTTTCCTGTTCAGTCCACAGGTCCTCATTGATTGTCTTTAATCAAAAAAATATCCTAGGGCTGGCCAGTTAGCTCAGTTGGTTAGAACGTGGTGTTACAACACTAATGTCAACAGTTTGGATTGCTGCACTGGCCAGCCACCAAAAAAAAAAAGCATTGTCCTCATTTTTTGATTACTTTTAGATTACTTACACGAGTGCACACCTTTCTGAAAGGCAATTTTGCAAAGAAGCTTAAAAATGTTCATATCTTTTATTTTAGACTTGGGACTTTTTCCTAAGAAAAGAATAAAAAATGGGTATCTTTATGTTTAAAGGTATTTGTAATAATTTTGAAAGAACTTACTAATCAAAAATCGCTTAAAGTATATATAAGCAAATCATTGAATATAATAGCTATAAAAAGTTATATTTTCTAGTAAGATTTAATGCCAGAGAGAAACAATATTTATGTAAAAAAAGCAAGACACAAAACAATATATACAATTGAATCTCAAGTCTGGAAAACAAAGTGTATGTGTGTGTGTCTATTAAAAAATCTGCTAATAAATATAATAAAATATTAGCCGTATAGGCTGCATATTTTCTACCATAGGCATTATCTTATGTGATTATAAAAGCTAATTTTTAAAAAGCCTAGACTTATAAATAATGCATTATTTCTACTAATCAAACTTTTTCATTTATCTTGAAATTCAGATCATTGAACACTGGATTATTGGTAAAATACTGTAATATTTTCTTTGAATTTTAAATAAAATGTTATGCAATCATAAACATTTTCTACCTGCAGAACAGACTGCTATTGCCTTCTCTGGATCCTTCTTATTAAAATAAAAAGCATAATTTACTTAAATTGTTCAGCTCTTTTACTATTATGTTTTCATACATGCAGATGAGCAAGAGACTGACCTATAACTTGTTGGTTCTGGGATTTGTTTTAGCCTACTTCTAAGGTAATAGACCTGAGAGTCCTGGGTCAGAGGCAAAGGACTTTTACTTATGGCACAGGAAGCAGCATAAACACCATCGTATCTGCACTGGTTTCCCTTGGCCACCAAGTCACACAGGGAGACTCAGAGGGTCCAGGTGGATGCCTGCACATGAAGTGGGTTGAGTTGTAGGACAGAAGCACTAAGGTTGGGGATCCACTGTTTTTACAACAAGGAGTAAGCAGGCCTACTCTTTGTCCTGGAAGGAGACGTTACCTCATCAGTCAAAGCTGCTTGCTGCAAACACAACCCTGAGAAATGTCTTTCATAAGCATGGTCACAGCCTTGCATCTCTGGAATCCATGGCAGATCACCTCCCCCAACAATACACGTCTAGCCCTACATGTTCTTGGCTAAACTCGAATTTTTATATGAGTATCCCTGTGCCAAAATTGTCAGGTTTGGTATTTGATTTTATCTCACTTACAAATTAACTAGTTAGCCTGTTGCACAGATGCTAGCTCTTGAGTCAGAGACAAAGGCCTTACATTCTTGGCTTATCCAGCAAGAATGTGCGCGGACACTCAGGGCCTGTGGTGGATTGCCTCTCTCAACAATAACCTAAAACATTAGCTACTTAAATTCACTTGTCATACCTACCCAAGAAGTACTCTGTCAACAGCTACATTAGTAGAAGAAGCAATCAGAAGTTTCCATGGCCTTGCATTTCCAACTGTAGGAGCTTCACTCCTTTCAAATAGCTGTACAAAGAACAAAATCACCACTGCCAGCAAATAACTCTTTCCTGCTCCAAAAACACCTAATTATTTTAAAGAAAGGGGAAAAAAATAAAGGCAATATAACAAATTTCTGAAAGCACAAGAAATTTTTCTTCCATCTCTCTCTCCTTCATTTGATTAATTTGTTCAAAAAACACTGAGTGTTCACTATATGCTAAGCACAAAGGATAAATAAACAGTCAAAATACCTCCCTCTTTAATGAGACCACAGTTTTCAGATGATAGACAAGTAAGGAAATGAAAATAAGATAATATGGTAAGTAACACTGCTATGGGATCAGAGAAGGAAGAAAATCGATCTCTGCTTTGGTGGAGATAGGAATGCTTCCTAAAAGTAAGGAGCAGAACTAAGCCTTCCAGGATAAGATATTCAGACTCTTTAGAGAAAGGGTCATTCTAGGCAGGGGCATGACAAAGCATGTAACTGTTAAAAGAACTTTAAGTATTTCTATGTAGCTTACAGCAAATAGGCAAGGGATGACGTTGATGAGATAGGCAAGGGGATAAATCACAAAATCTCTGCTTGCTACGGCTAAGAAAGTTTAAATTTTAACTTAAAGGCCAGGAAAAATTACTGAAGGATTTTAAGCAATGGGATTGATTTAATCAGATTGTTTTAGAAAAACAACTTGGGTGAAAATAGGAAGAAAGGGAAAACTAACAGTAGATCATCAACTAGAAAGTTGTACACGATAATCATAACAATAATAATGCCAACTTTACCTAGTGCCTCCCATATTCCAGGCACTGTTCCAAGCCCTTTACAAACTATATTAATTCATTTAATCATCCAACTCTATGAGGTAGATCCTATTAACATCCCCATTTTACAGAGCAGGAAATTAAAGCTAAGTGATAAGTAACCTGCCCCAAATCATACAGCTATCAAATGGTAGATGCACAATATAAATCCAGGATTCTGTGGAGGTGTGATAAAGGTATGATGATGTGGGTGCAAGTAAACTGGAAAGGAGACAATCAATAGGAAAGATGGGTAGAAGCTAGAAGGGACACGTCTCAATGACGGATATGATGTGGGGAGATAAATAGTAAGAGAATAGGAGAAGGATTAAGAGAGATAGTCAATCTAGAGAGAAAAAATAATCTAGGATGACTCTCAGGTGTTGATTTGGTTAACAGGGTAGATGTGGTGTAATTTCTCAAAACAGGACACAAAAGTAGAATTAGCTTTGAGATAGAGATCTATGGGAGAAAATGTCCTACAGAGGTTACAGAATCCAGATAAAAGTATGTACTCTGAATAGGAGGAAGTAAAGCTTCTTCATTGGGACAGAACCAAAAGAGGTAAGAACAGGTCCAAAATTAGGTATGTTGGAGAAGGAAGGCAGAATACTGAAAGAAATTTCTACTATGAACTTCATTTTCTGTTTTAGAGGCAAGATCAAAAGATCATGGGGCAAGGATGGGGTCATGAGAATAATGACAGTTTGGAATAGCTGCTGTGAAGGACAGAAGAGTGAGTGACTAGGAATTAATAAGAGGTTTTGCTACATATTGTACACATGTATTGATAATCGATTCTGTACCTCAAAAATACATATAATCAATTAAAAAAAAGAGGTTTTGCTCATCAAAGTTGAAGTCCACTCTAATAGAGCAACATGTAGACAACTAGTTGAAATCTGGATACTCTGATAACAAGTGTATAATGCTATTCATCAGATATGCTGCCAATTCTCCCTTTTAAAAGGGTGGTCAGTTCCACTCTCATCTAATAGTTTACTAAAATAGGTTCAGGTTAAAAAAATCTACTTAAAAGTTATTTTTGAACTCTGTTTGACTAAGAAATTACAAACGATTAGTTTGAGTTACAAAAGTTTACACATTATAATGTATTTACTAGAATTGTTTTCTTCCTTGTTTCTTACCATGTATGATTGTGATAGGGAGGGTATGGGTTTGCAGTTCTTTCACCTCTTCAGCATTTTCGTGTGATGCCATCATTTGAGCTATTTGAATTAGAGCCGTTGCTTGATCCTTGTTTAACTTGTGTGCCTGAATTAACTCACTAGCTAACTGCAATGCTGCTCCTAGGCTGAGTAGTTCAAATTTTGTGTTTATATTTGTGAAGCCTGGTGGGATAAATTTTCTCTTATTGACTCTCTTGTTGCTAAGTGAAGCTGACGAAGACCTAATAAAACAGCAACAATCAAAATCAAAGAAAAATTAGGGGCTTTTGAAATAGGTATGTAGACCTATTCATAACTTAGTTTTCACTTTATCAGCATTACAGAGAACTTTTTTTTTAAGGGAACAAACCAGAAATGGCACATACCCCAATTTGGAGAAAGAAAACGACCATTTGCTGACTACCTACTCTGTGCTGGCATTATGCTAAGCATTTTTTCTTTTTCTTTCTTTTTTTTTTTGTTTTGGCAGCTGGCTGGTATAAGAATCCAAACTCATGACCTTTGTGTTACAGGGCTGAGCTCTAACCAACTGAGCTAACTGGCCAGCCCTTATGCTAATATTACAATATTACTTGATGAAATCTTCACGATAACACTAGGAAGTAGTTAATTATCCCAAACAGAGATGCAAAAATATTAATTTTTTTCCCCAAAACTGCACCACGAATAAGTTATGAACTGGCCCATGCTCTGTTATGTAAACCTGACTTAGATCATTAATATAGTCCCTATTCAGGTAAAACTACAATTAATGAATTGGTTTTATTTCTATTTCTATAAAGACTGAATTCATTTCAAATTGCATAAATAATATAATGGAACCATAAGGATATTTATGATTAAATATGAATATTAAATATAACGATTATAATATCCTTATGGGACTTCATTGCGGGAAAAAAAATGAAACATCACAGATAGTTAATAGTACTCTAAGTTGGAAAATAAATTTTTTCTATTGCTTTAATGCATTTAATATAGTATCACTTCTAATTTTAAAAAAGATTTGGTGCTTGAGAAATTAAATATGAAATATAGATAATATCTAGAATAAAATCAATATTTATATATATATTAGATTGAAGCTATAAAATGATTCTTTTAAATGTTAAATAATTTGTGGTATAAAAATACAGATGAACAAAAAAATAAAACCAACACTCAAATGATTCTTAAGAAATTATCCCTTGACAAAACGAAAAAATTTGCAGTAACATTTATTAGCCCAAACCATAATAAATAAATAGGCAGGTGGATGGAAAATGATGTATATTTCCCTTTCTCTTTTTATTTTTAACTACTGACAGATGGTAATGTCATAGTCTGAAAGATAATTAAAATTTTATTAGCAACATTTATGCATGTACTTTTACTGTATTTTCATATTCACTTTTAGTTACCATTTTTAAATACCAGTGACCCAAAGGTAAATAATGACTTACATTGTTAACAGGTATTGCGTTAGTGGTAGAGTAGCTGGATTAAAGTAGTCCTGAATGTTTTTCAAAGTAGTCAGCTCTGTGCTAGCATTACAAACCAATAATGCATGGACGACTACTGCAGAGAGGATGCAGAAAATGAACATTTGACATAAATAAAATGTACCATAAAAAAACTCTGCATTAAACGTCCACATAATTCAGAGTTCAGCTACTGAATTAATTACACAACATAAAATAAGCCCTTAAGTACATGCAGAAGTCCCAAACACTCATCCATTAAATAAGCATACTACCTGCTCATTCCTTTTATATACGGGTACCCATAAATTATATAACCTAAATCATAGGAGGGTACTTCAAAAAATCTGTGGAAAGATTTGTATTCTTTTAATTCTATTTTTCCACAAAATTTTTGAAGTACCCTTATATGTGAACTTCCACGTGTCAGCAAATGAACAAGAACACCTGCCAAGAATTGGTGTATAGTGGCACTGCCTGACATCCGCAGTTTCCTTTAATCAGCATACCACTTGTGCTGTAGAGTGGAATTTGTCTAATTTTTAAACATTTTCTTGCATTTCTTCCTCAATTACTTTATAGAAACATATGGAAAACAGAAAATTAGAATGTTGATATTGGCGAGGAAACAACTGCAACAAACATGAAAATATCCATATAAAAAGCAACAAACATTTACTTAATTAGGCTCTTATTGGACTCAAGCTGCTTGGCTGTATTTATTCAATTATGAAAGAAAAGATCAAAAATTAAAAACATATATGAAATACTAGAAATGTATCATGAAATACTACTGCATCTTTAATTAGTTATGGACCAAATTCAACTATCAGAAATAATTCCAGAGATCTAAATGTATAGAGAAGTCTAGAGATTCATAGAACTGTACAGGAATTCAGCTTACTAAACATTTCTTTTTTAAAAGAAAAATAAGGCTGGTAGCTTACTGTCTTATTAAGAATTTTTCAAGACAGATGATAAGATACTCTCAAAGAAAAATCACACCCTCTGCTCAGTTCCTTGCAAAATCTCCAAGACCTTTTCAATGCAAAAATAAATTGTTTACTAAATGCACCTTCAAATAAACCAAGAGAATCAGAACTCAATGGTAGAAATTATTTGAGAAAATTCTCATTTAAAATGTTTAATGTTTATATTTTTAAAAATCAGGTATATACTATGTAAAATTTAACTTTACAAAATAAGTAATTGTTCAAGATCTCATGGTCAGCCCTACAATACTAACTGCAGAAACTGCAGAGATTTTTATATATTCAACTTTCCTACACATTTTTCAGGAACACATTGTACACAATACTAGGAACTAGAGGTGGGTGCCTTTTGTTGGCTTTTTTTGTTTTTTCTTCCAAATTTTACTTTATTTTCTAAATATACAATGTGGTTGATTATTGTAGCCAATTACAGAAACCTCCCTCCCAACTCCCTCTCCCCCTCAATCCCAACAATGTCCTTTCTGTTTGCTTGTCGTATAAACTTCAAGGTATTATAATTGTTATGTCTTCTTCCCTCCCCCGCCCCTGGTTTTTGTGTATTTATTTATTTATTTTTAGCTCCCACCAATAAGTGAGAATATGAGATATTTCTCTTTCTGTGCCTGACTTGTTTCACTTAATATAATTCTCTCTAAGTCCCTCCACATAGTTGCAAATGGCAGTATTTCATTCTTTTTTACAGCTGAGTAGTATTCCATTCTGTAGATATACCACATTTTCCATATCCATTCATCTGATGATGGACATTTGGGCTGGTTGCAACTCTTAGCTATTGTAAAAAGTCCTGCGATGAACATTGGGGAACAGGTATACCTTTGACTTTATGATTTCCATTCCTCTAGGTATATTCCCAGCAGTGGTATAGCAGGGTCATATTGTAGCTCTATCTGCAATTGTTTGGGAACCTCCATACCATTTTCCATAGAGGCTGCACCATTTTGCAGTCCCACCAACAATGTATGAGAGTTCCTTTTCCTCCGCAACCTTGCCAGCATATATCATTCAGAGTCTTTTGGATTTTAGCCATCCTAACTGGGGTGAGATGGTATCTCAGTGTGGTTTTAATTTGCATTTCCCGAATGCTCAGTGATGTTGGGCATTTTTTCATATGTCCTTTGGCCATTCATACATCTTCCTTTGAGAAATGCCTATTTAGCTCTTTTGCCCATTACTTAATTGGATTGCTTGTTTTCTTCTTGAAATGTTGTTTCATTTCCTTGTATATTCTGGATATTAATCCTTTCTCAGATGTATATTTTGCAAATATTTTCTCCCACTCTGTTAGTTGTCTTTTAACTCTGTTGTTTCTTTTGCTGTGCAGAAGCTTTTAAGTTTGCTCTAATCCCATTTGTTTATTTTTCCTTTGGTTGACCGTGCTTTTGGGGTCATATTCATGAAGTCTGTTTACAGTCCTACTTCATGAAGTGTTTCTCCTATGTTTTCTTTAAGAAGATTTATTGTTTCAGGGTGTATATTTAATT